AAAAACGACAGCAATAATCAGAAGAATGATGATATCAAATCAAATTTGAGGTCAAATTATTACCAGAGAAAGACTTAAGCGAAAAAAATTACTAAACTGAGCAAAAAAATATCTACCAGTACACTTTAGATTACTGAACTGAGCGAACAGTCTTTAACAATCTGTTTTCTAATAAAAAAAAATTCACAAGAAAAGAATCTACATTCAAGTGCGAGACCACTTTTCCATACAAAATCCTTGTCCAAATGTACAGCGTACACTTTGCGGGTAGATCAAAACTGCGTCGTTCAGAAAAGCCAACAAGCATCGTTGGTGTGCATATGAGGTCTGCCACGGAAAATGCAGCGCAACTAAATTCAAGATAGTCAGAAAAAGCTCATTTTTTTATCAGAGAGTGTTACTTACATCTCCACAGTGAAGCAAATGCAAGAGAAGAATGGGAACCCCAAAAGGCGGCAACCATCTCGGGTCAGTCAAATCCGGCCACAACGATCTTCTCGGCTCCTTTATCAGCAGTTTGGGCCATTCCTTCTCGGTAAGCATGGGTAACGGTGCTTGGGTCCATGGCATGCGCATCTTTTCCAACCAAGTGGGTCGTCTGCCGTGAGTCTGGAAGAAGGTGTTCGTCTCCTTCGGTTGCCACCATGTGGTCCCGTGCTTCCATGTAGACGGTTGGCCTATGGCCCAAGCAAGATCGTCCAGTTCTTGAAAGGCATCCACATGATATAGCGCGTGGGGCCAAATGAACTCTCGGTACCATGGGCTAAATTCATCCGGTAGCTGTTCGGTCAAATATTGGTGCGTTGGAGAAGGGGCTGGCTCGAATGGCACCCACTGCTGCTGCTCCTGGTAGCCTTGCTCAACCTGTTCTTGATAGCCTTGCTCAACGTGCTCTTGGTAGCCTTGCTCAACCTGTTCCTGGTAGCCTTGCTCAACCTGCTCTTGGTAAACTTGCTCAACCTGCTCCTGGTAACCGTGCTCAACCTGCTCCGGGTAACCTTGCTCAGCCGGCTCCTGGTAAACTTGCTCAACCTGCTCTTGGTAAACTTGCTCAACCTGCTTCTGATAACGCTGCTCAACCTGTTCTTGGTAACATTCCTGCTCAACCTGCTCTTCGTAACGGTACTCGCTAGCGACAGCCGACTCATTGCGTGCACTTTTAGGAACAAATTCCTTGATCTCCTTCAGCTGAAGTCCATCTGGGCCATCCTGAAGCCATCCACTGAATGCATTCTGATGCATCGCACTGTCTCCCTTCGGCTGCCAGTCGTTCGCATCTGTCATCTGCATCTCGACCTGAGCCTGCTGGATCTGCTGAAACTCGTCCGGTCCATCCTGGTGCCAGTCGTTCGATCCTGCCGGTTGCCACTCGGTCGGGAACTCCTCTTGCATCTCATTGGGCGAATCGGGAAGCCACGATTCCTGAACCGGAATATTCTGCTGGGCGTCGACGGGCGTGCTGGGGCGCCAGTTGTTCGGGTGATCCCCGGGAAGCTGGGTGGGTATGCTCAAGTGTCCATCACTGTTCATTTGCGGCTTGATCTTATTGCGAACATTCGGTTGCCAGCGGAAAAATATCTTCTGGACCTCCTCGTTGGGACCTCTCTGCTGCAATTCCATCGACTGTATGGGTTCCTGCTCCTGATGCGGGGCATTTGTGTGCCAACCGGCGCCGTGCTGCCAACCATAAGGTGATCTGCGCTTCGGTTCGCTTGTGATCTGCGGCTGGGAAACTTGAGGTGCCGACTCACTGTGGGTGGGCAAATCTTTGGCAGATTTGGACTCCTGAGAATTCTTGGCGGCTGCTTCTGCTTCTGCTTGTGCCTTCAGCGATGCTTCCCAATTCTGCTGGAACTCGGTGATCAGCTTGATCTGCCATGGAGCTAGCTGTCTCGGCTTCACATTCGCACATCCGGGTTGCTCCTTCTCCTCCTTCTTCGGTTCCTCCTTTACCACGGTAGTTTTTGGCGGTTGCCACCATGTCAGATTTGGTAGAATTTCTGGCTGCTGCTGTGGATGCTGTGGCTCTGGCATCACATTTCGCTCCGTACGTCTGGGTTGCTGCTCCATTTGCTGAGTGACCCAAGCTGCTGGATTTATGCGATGTTCTCCTTGTTGTAATTCATGTCTACTGCATCTGGAGATATATACACGGGGATGCGGTTCGGTCTGATGTGTCACCTCTGTTCGCATTTCTGGCTCGGACCAAGTGAAGTCAAATTCAGGCCGAGTTGAACCCCTGTGGCTTGAAGTTCTGGTGTTTTCTTCGCTACGAGCGGGTATAGACTGGGGTAACTGTGCTGATGTGGACGGTTGTGGTGGTTGCGAGGTCCTGAAACCAATGAGAAATAAGAAAAATAAGAAAAAAAAGTTATGTGGTAGAGCCACGGATACCACAAACACCGCCTTCGCGGACCACGGTTTTTCGCACATGCTATTGCATACCGTGTTAGGAACAACAGTCCGTGGAGGCAGCGCTGAATGAGGTATCCGTTCTTCTACCCAAAGTTATGATATTACAGTATATATAAAACCATAAAATTGGAAAATGTAACTCACGAAGCCACAGATGAACCCTTGGTAAGTTGCGACAGGGTGAACATTCTCCAAGTATTCTGGAAGAACTATTTGAAGAAACGCTTACAAATTTCTTACAACTAGAAAAACGAGCGAAATTGTCAAGAAAATGAACTAGGGCCATGGAAAATTCCAGAAAATGAAATGGCGCCTGGTGTACATTACATCTACGAATTGCGCGAAGTAATCTACACTCAAAACATACAGTACACCTTTGGAAATCTCTACTTCAGGAGAAAGGATATGAAGAACGGCAAGAACAATGAAGATTGAAACGAAAAGAAGAAAAGGACAACGAAAATTAAGCAGATGAAGTTAAAAGGTTGGTAAGGAAACCTAAGAACCGAAGATTACGCTAAACAAAGGTTTAATTGCGTCACTCTTAATATTAAATATGCATATAACTATACTACAATTGACGCCATAACTCTAAGAAGCCTTAATTCACTACAAATATCCTAAAATAATCATAATTTGTTAGTTTGATCACCAGCCAGCAGATTTGGCGCGCTTCCAAACGCGCGCGTCAGACCTCCCAGGTATAAACTTGTAAACCCGGACCTACAGGCCATGTCTGAGCAAATCGATTTGGAATCGTCAGTGTCTTTTCAGCCGTGAGCCAGCACGGTGACTAGTGGCTCTTCTTTAGTTTTTCTTTCAAATTACAACTTCTGGAACATTTTGCAGTTTTCCACTCTTTCAGGTAGTTCAGTAAACTAACCCAAAGCTCACAATGTCGCGATCATCATCGAATGAAACTTACGAACTGTAAGTCTTTAAGTAATCTACTAAATCATTCTCTCCGCTTTTTCCTTTCTACCATATACTTTTGCAGGTTCATCGACGATTATGATGACTACTATAACGAACCAATGGTCGCTTGGCCTAATCCCTGTCCAACACCACCGCCATCTCCACCCTATCCTTACGCTTACCCTTACCAAGCTAACCCACTTACTGATTGGGTTCCTTCTGGTGTCTGGACCCCGTGGACCCCGTACAACAGCCCGGTTCCAAATTCGTACGTGTCCTATGCGATACCTTACCAGAATCCTTATCCTTGGGGATGGAATCCTTGGACCCCTTGCCTTCCCGAGCCGTATGTCTGGACCAACTATGGGACAAATACTATGTTCACTCCCCCTCCTAGCCCCGTCACTATTCCACCTGGGAGTATTTTGACTCCTCCAATGCTTCTGGTGCCTGTACCAGTGAGACATAGATATTACCACC